CTTGATGCAGGGTTTGCAAACATGTTTCAGGCTGACGCTGCTATGCTGAGCGTAGTGGAGAACCTAGCGACAGGATTCCGTCTTAGCAACGACCACACCGTCTATGGTCCTCTTCTGATTGTAAACAACGAAGCATTTTCACTGAAAATCCCGCCGCCACAGCCAGACGCCAGCGGCAGAGTACTGAATCCGCTGACACTGCTTGATCCCGATGCTCTGGCAATTTTGAGCATAGTGACCCCGAAGCCCGAACTTGTAGTAGTAGGTGGCGGAGCTGGTATTGCGCCATTATCGCATAGGGCACGGGAGTATCTGACGTCGATCGGACTTAATGTTGAGTTGGCCAACTCCAAAAACGCTAGTAGCACATATAATACACTTTCTGAAGAAGGGCGCAATGCAGCACTACTGGCAATTCCGGCAGGTGTCAGTGCTTAGATTTATTATTATACGGAATGTACATTTAAGACAGTATCTATTGTATTAGGCTCTTTGTCTTTAATATTGTGCTCATCGTTGTCGTCGCTGAGCAAAAGCTCTGTCGTAAACCTCGGTGGCAACATCCTATCCAGCAACATCAGAATGCCATAAAGGGCATAGTAAACTACTACTATCCCGGCTGCAATCCCTAGTGCAGTGCCCATCACCACCCATCCATGCTTTTCGTAGTCGATAAAGTCGTATACGAACCAACCATTAATTGCCTTGTTGAGAAAAGCCAGCACCAGGTACAACACCATTACTACCGCTAGCACCAAAGGATGCGTCCAATGTGCGGAGAACACCATTCCTCCGACTGCTGCATCCACGAAAATGCACACGGCGTTGGTCGCATGTACCGACGCATTCAGCCACCGATGCTCGGCTGTATCGTATATTTGAGCCTTGTAAATCAGCCCCCAAAACATTGTCGTCACCACTGTAGCATACACCAGAGCAGACTCGAACAACAGCCAGTGTAGCAGCTGCAGTGTCCGTGCCATCCCTGTAAATGATGACGGCTCACCACCGCATCGCCAAAATCCCACTGTATGAATCAGCGATGCTCCTAGATACGCCAGTAGTCCTGTGTAGCAGAGATGCGTAAAGTATGCAAAATGCCCGCTCATCTCGCCATGTTGTATGTCAAAGACAATTGCGAATATCCACACTCCCAGCGTATAGCTAAAAAGTACTGAACGAATGAGGACAAGGCTACCACTGTTAAGGATCCGCGATACTCCTATGCGACGCACATCTAGTTTATGCAACTGCCAGGTTCTATGCCACCGTCGGTAACTGTCTACTTGATTCAAAGTTATTTCCATCCGTTCTGCTGGACAAGTGTACATGTTGGTTTTTTTTCTTAAAGCTGTAGTGTATTTGTAAAAAAAAAAAAAAAAAAGAAAAGATTACCAGTGGTTGTGTCCAAACACATATGCAATACATGTTTCCTCTCTTGTCACAGGATACATTGGATATTGTTCTCAAAGTTGCCGAAACCCCATTCACCAATTGATTTTTACAATGGCAAGCTGCATGGGACTTTGAAGTGATCGTGCGGTTTGAGCCGAGCTACTACTGCAATTTCAAATTGAGCAACAGCAAGTTTAAAGACAACAATCGAAGATTCGTTGATATTTTTCAGTTTATTTTCGCTACAAGAGTATAAATAACTTTTTTTTTTTTCTATACTAGCAATGCCGTCAGAGATTCAGCCAAAGTGGTCACAGGAGGAGCTAAGCGGCGATGGTGTGAGTAAGAAGGAGCTTGTGGTATTTCTCCAAGAGAGCGGTAGCAACGACTTTCTTCTCTCGCATAAGCTTAATGGAAAGCTCAATAATGTTGTTAAGACTGCAAAGAAGCCTGCTCTAATTGCCGCATATGAAGATCTATTTGCTTCCAAAAGGTTTCGCTCAGATGACGAACAGTCTGCTGCTGATGTCAAACAGGATAAGCCTGCAACTGCTGTCCAAAATGATCTGTCTGAGGAGAAGGGTCCTGAGCCTGTAAAGTACACGAAAAATGTTATTAAGAAGGGTACTGGCGATCGGTGTCCGAAAAAGGGCGATCGTGTTAGTGTATTCTATACTGGTCAGCTAGAGAATGGCACTGTTTTCGATACAAATACTGAGCCAAAGGGTCGCAAACCGCCTAGCCCTTTGGTATTTAAGGTTGGAACCGGTAGAGTCATTCGTGGATGGGATGAGGCCCTGTTGACTATGGTCAAGGGCGAGAAGGCCAAACTGACTATACAACCTGAATGGGCATATGGTCAACGGGGAAATAGCGCTGGTGGCATTCCTCCCAATGCAACATTGATCTTTGAAGTAGAGTTGGTTAATATTGAATAGATGGCTCTGGCACAATTACCACATCTTTTTTTTTTCTATGAACAAGATCATATCTTGAATCTTCACTGATGTTATAATAGAAGATATAACAGCCGTACTGATTCAAGATATAACAACCTACATTCCACCTGCCATCCATATTTTGAGAGGTATATAAGGACACCATTGCGCTGGCTTCTAACAGTTTCTAGTTTCCTCATCATCAGCACCTTGCTGTCTTTTGTCTTTTTTTTCCCGCCTAAATCTTGAATCATAACGTTCAAAAACCACAACCTAACCACTTTTCAACGCACCTAACAAACAACAACTTTGACCTAATTTATTCTTGGATTAGTCATGAAGCTCTCAATTGCCTCGATCGTCCTTGCTGCTACTGTGGTTGTTGCACAGTATGATACGAACACATTGCCTGAGACAGAGGGTACTCCTACCGTCGAGGAACCAATGTATCCAGCTGTGCAGACTCCTGCTGACATGCCCAAGCTCCAGATGGGCTATGGCAGTGATACTGAGTCGCTGCTCTCGCGTCTGGCGTCTTACTTTGATCTGACCCATGTGGCTAGTGACATTACTACTATGCCAGTGACTATAACCAAACTCTATGATCCGGCTAGCAACAAGTTTACTGTGGTGTCTGCCAATGTGATGCAGTCGGGTGGCGCCTACTACGTTCCCGTTTGCCCTACCAATGCCATTGTAAGCGCTGGACAGACGCCCGTCATGGATGTCCAGCCAGCCGCCTGTGGCTATGGAATTCAGCTTACTCCAGTGCCTAACAATGCAGCAAATGCGATGCATCGTGTTATTCGCACCGCGTACAAGGCTATCATGAGCATTGGTCGTCCATCGTTCATGGGCATGAACCAATCTACTGGCATGCAGCAGCAGATGATGTCTGGTTCTGGGATGATGCAGCCTGGTTCTGGGATGATGCAGCAGATGAAGCCTGGAATGATGCAGCAGATGAGCCCCAATACCGAAATGATGCAAGCTCAGCCCACCATGCCAGCACAGTAAACCAATAACAATCCATTAGATACTCATTCTAACATTTATAGCTGCTTTTTGCTTATGTAGATGAGTTTCGTTAATCGCAGAATAGTGATCTGCTTACTTTAATAAAGCATAAGACAGATCAGAACGATGAAAAAAAAAACAAAACAAAATGTGATGGCTTCTTTTTGAAGCTCTGTTATCTTTTTTACTCTTTGCTATTTTCAAAAAGTGTAATTCGAAACATGTATACTTCTCGGATACTTCTACGTCTTCCAATACTTGCACACAATGGGGTACAAGTACAGACGCGTCTACTACCGATGAGATCTCAGTTACCAGCGCTGATCGGTCGTAATAATTTTCTTCTAGCATCCAAAGGTGCTTGGAACCGCCATACACTTCATATGCCACAACTAATACAACCTCGACTGCTTACAACCTCGACTCTCAGTGATAGCAAGAATAAACATCGACGTACAGTGGATGCGCCAATAGTTGGGTATTGGACACTATTCTGTGCATCCATGGTTTTTGGCATTATCATCTGGGGTGGATTAACACGACTAACGGAATCTGGACTATCAATTGTCGAGTGGAAGCCGATCACTGGAGCACGACTACCTACCAGCGAGGCTGAATGGGAAAGCGAGTTTGAAAAGTACAAACTCTACCCCGAGTACCACAAAGTACATATTGGTATTACTTTGGATGACTTTAAACGCATATATTTTATGGAGTGGTTCCATCGCAACATTGGCCGACTCTTTGGCGTTGTTTATCTTGTACCCGCTGCGTACTTTGTTTACAAGGGAAAAGTTACACGTGCTGGTGTAGCAAAAATTGGAGGCCTGGGCCTCCTGCTACTGGGCCAAGGCGCAATGGGATGGTATATGGTTGCTTCAGGATTAGAGGATGAGTTGCGTCAGCGACCTGATGCAGTCCCACGCGTCAGTCATTATCGTCTGACCTCGCATCTCTCTCTGGCATATTTGCTATATGCTGGTCTGGCACTCTACGGCTGGAGTGTCCTGCGCACCAACCGCCTTGCTCAGAGTAAAATAAATGCTCCAGAGGCCCTTCGCACTTTGCTACAGAAACCTCAGATTGTCTCTTTTCGTCACCGCATAACTGCTGCGACACTTTTAGTTGGAACAACTTGTCTCTCAGGCGCAATGGTTGCAGGTCTTGACGCTGGTCTAATATATAACGAATTTCCGATGATGGGTCTTGGAATTACTCCGCCACTGACGGAGCTATGGAATCCATTCTATGCACGTGGCGACCCATCTGCCATGTGGCGGAACCTCACTGAAAACCCTGCTACAGTGCAGCTTGCACACCGGGCTCTGGCAATGACCACATTCTTCACGCTCTCAGCTCTTTGGTGGAAAGGCCGTCGTCTGCCATTACCACTTCCGTCGCGCCTGACATTGCATTTAATGTATTCCTTAGCTTGGCTTCAAGTTGCACTGGGAATTACCACACTGGTCGACTTTGTTCCAATCGCCAATGCCTCGGCACATCAGGCTAACTCGGTGCTACTACTTGCTTCTGCGCTCCGTCTTCTTCATACGCTTCGTCCTCTTCCTCGCATCCCGCTATGACTTTTTCAAAAAATATTGAAAAAAAAAGTCATAAAAGCATTCTTTAAAAATAGAGTAAAAAATGTAATAGCCACAGTGGGGTTCGAACCCACGATCCCATACGGGAGGAGATCTTAAGTCTCCCGCCTTAACCACTCGGCCATATGGCTTGCAGATGAGGAGAAAATTGATCCACCATCTTTTCGTATCATATTTATAAGAATTATTTAAACTCCTGTATCTCTTTTAAAAAAGTAAAGCCATCTTTGTCGTTAACAAATAGCTATCAACCATTGTTTATGGTTGTATAGTGTACTGCATTTTGAGTTTGCAGTACTAGTATAAGGCAATATCCTGTTATTGGTAGGATAGGATTGAAGTTTGGTATAGATATTTGTTGCGGGAGCCAAATGGCTCACGGACATGACCATGAACTAGATCAAGCCAAGTGATGAAGATGATGATGATAGACATCATGAGAAAGCAAGCACAAGATGGGATTGAACAAATACAACGAGAATGGCATTATTTGCACATCTAGTAGTACGGTTCTAGCACTATAAAAAGGAGTACAGTTTCCTGCTAGTTTTGTGAATGTTTCTTTACTATTGTAGACTATCTAAAAGTAATAGTCTGAATAGCTGGAGATATTGTTCCTTGTCTCTCCGAGTCACTGACTACAAGCTATATTGTAGAAACAACTAAAAGAATTAAAAAGGAATGCGGGTTCAAACAATGAACCCACTAGAAAACAATATTATAAGCAATCGGGTAGTCGCCCCGATCGCTCATATTGTTTAGCGGTGTCACGTGATATATCACGTGACACCGCAAACAACAACTATTATAAATAACTCTAAAACATTAAACTACCTTTTTAATAACAAGTCGGCCTTCTTGCCGCAATATATTTTTCAATATATAGTTGATGAAATACTTGGATAGTTGCTCTAAAGTTTTATGAATTCTGTGGAATAGCTGTTTTAGCAAGAGTACAAATGAAACGCAATAACAAAAAACATAATAAAATGTCTATACTTTAATTAAATGAATATTATTAATAGGTTTTACCAACCTAATTACATGTTAATAGTACATGTTGCTTAAAGTATATTTATTGTATTAATTTGACGTCAACAAGACAAACGAGAAATTAGTTGCATTAAAAAAAAAAAAACAAAGGCGCCACTTTGACTGATGACTTTCAGAAAAAAACTAGCAGTTTAGTAAATGTATATAAAATTGTATTACATGAGAGCAGCAAGAATGTCTGTAAATAATTATAGTTGTTGATTAGGCTAGTACCAGCCGATGATCTTCCACCAAAGCATACCAGCAGTAAGGTTCACGACAACAATAACAAGCGCAAACAGCAAGCCAAGCATAAACCAACGGGGTTGCGAGATATAACCTTGTGAGGCATAGATGGCCACAGTGCCAGTTGAGAAAGGAGTCAGAGTGCCCGCCAGTGAGCTAAACACAGCAATAAGAATAGCAAGCAGCTTTGGAGGACAACCTAACACATGACCTGCAGCAAAGAAAGGCCCAGCAAATGCAACGACATGGCTTGATATTGACGAGAACAGATACATAGACAGAAAGTACACCAATGACAATGATATAGTGCTTGTCATAGGTGTGGCGTTGTGAAGTGATCTTGATAGTGAGTTGCCAATCCAGTCAGTAACACCAAGAGCAGTGAGCTGCTCGGCCAAAACAATAAATGAGGCCAACCAGAAAAACGTATCCCAAGCTTTATAATTATTAACCACATCATGCCATGTCAACACGTCCAGTAGCGTGAGTATTACAATCGCCATGTACGCAACCACAGTGGCATCAATGCCAAAGTAGGGTGTTCCAATCCATAAAACAAGGCACAGCGCCAGCGTTGCGCATAGTTTGTACTCCGATCTGGAAGCAGAACCCAGTGCATAGCGTTGTCGACGAATCTCGCGAGAAAGATTGGCAGAATTAATCTTGGGTCGCAACAACACATACATAAGAGGAGGCAGCAAGAATAACAACAGAAGAGACGGAATGCTGGCGCCTAGCATCCATTCTGAGAATCCAAACTCAATTCCAAAAATGCTGGCTGCTTTGCTAGCAACAATTGGGTTCCCTGCCATTCCAGTGACAAACAGAGACGACGACACAAGGTTGGCGTTAGATGCAACTATCGACAAAAACCCGCCGATGGGGTCTTTGCCTGCATGCGGTTCGACTCCAAGCGAAGCAATAACCGACTCGACAATGGGGTACACAATTCCGCCGCCGCGCGCTGTGTTTGAGGGTATAAAAGGGGCCAGCACAAGCTCTGCCAAACACAATGCATACCCAATACCGATAGCAGATCGGCCCATAGCACCAACTAGCATTAGCGATATCCGCCTACCAAACCCTGTCTTTTCTACTGCCTTCCCGATGTGAAACGCGCTAAATACCAACCATGACACTTTGTTCGAAAACCCCGAAATGGCAACGTCAAAACTTCCGCCGATAGGATCGCATCTGTATTCGTGCCAGAGGCCCAGGTCACCTTGGTACATTGTGTTGCATTTGCTGCACTCTACGTGGTGACCATCTGACGTTGTGCACATGAAGCTCTTCGACAGCGTCAGCACGAGGAGTGCTACCGCCATAATGACTGACATGTCGTAGTCTGCTGTTAGCAATCCCATGATCACTCCGCCAAAAACGCCCAACAACCGCATTCCACCACTCGACAGGCCCTCTGGCGCCGGTAAATGGGCAATTGCGATTGCTATAACGATGGCAGGAAGTGCACTGACAAATCGAAAGCTCTTTACGAGCTCCACATATCCCTTCCAGCTGCCTACATATCTGTGCAATAGCATTTGTCCTTAGTCACTCTCCTCCTTCTTTTGCCGCAGATATGATAGAAAGCGTTGTTGGACCACCCTCCTCTGCCGTGTTAGTAACAAATGAAGTTTTGCAATTTAAAAAAAAAGCTAATGCTGCAATTTCGCATTGAGAGAAAAAGAGGTAAAAAATGGCTGCGCTTTTCTTCTGAAAAGAAATTTTTTTTTGGTTGCTGAGCAGACTTTTCTTGCGGCGTTTAACTTACGGGTAAATAATCCAGCTGCACTGTTGCGCATATGCTGCATCGAAGCATATCTCTGGTGGTCAATAGCATTGTAGTCGATTACATGGTGTGGGCTATCGTGACTACGTGAATGATCCGGTACCAGCGCCGATGTTTCGCTGGAGGATTCGTGAGACATAATGCAGTTCAGCACAAGCAAACGCTTTTAAAAGATAATAATGACTTTCAGAGAGATAGAATGCATCTCGCGCATGCCAGCCATGGATAAAGCCAGTCGATGGGGGTCCGTGAACAAACTCCCCACACCTTCAGCCAGACACAGTAGTCCCACGTGATATATAGTGCAATTCCCGGTTTCACGAGGCTTGAAAGCAGCGCGCTAGCAGATGATTCTCAGGTAGGTCCAGGCGCACTCCTGCCACCACTGCTGCCAATCATGCAGGTGACTTTTCCCCTGACTCTTGATCGTCATGGCTTGCATTCAGTTTCCGATTGGACTTTACTGGCACTTCAAATGCCACTAAAATGCAAGCGCCAAATAAAAAAAATTACTAAACTTCATACTCCAGCACTTATCTGGGTCCACAAAATCTCTTCACAGATGCATCTGCTAACATAAAAATACCAAACAACGCTAGGCTTAAAAAACGTTAAAAGTACTATTATTCACAAGTGGCAATATACTACCTCTAGTGTATTTCGGCACAAGCTTGGATGCGATATAGACACTTTTTGCCAACAAAAATGCAACTAGTATTATTAATAAAAATATCACGTTGCATTTCCCTAATTTATATTGTATTTGGAATAAACCACCACATTGCTGATAATTCGAATATTATAATTATATTATACAACTGTTTAACTTGCACACATCTTATGCAAAGGTTTACTCGGCTTTAGCTGGAACAGCCTCAAATTAAACATATACCTTATTTTTGGTAAACACAAAAGTTTTATTTGTCAATTTAATTTATAAAAGCTATTCTTAAGACAACTCTAATAACTTGTCATTAAACCCAAATCTAAACTAGTATAGCTTTAGATTTAATAGTAGCAGTAGACCGAATATAATTTTATCAAGGTGTTTTGTAGACTGTTGTAAAACCCCAGGGTAAGCTCGGGTGACTTTAGCCCACAATCACAATATTACAAAGTTAATGCCCATTTGAATATCTTCAAAACCACATAGGAAAATGAGCTTTTCTGTCGCTACTTTTCTGACTCTTTCTATCGTTGTATAACTGCGCTATAATATCAGAGGCAGCGTGAAACAAATAATGACTAGCACATATCAAGATACAGCCACTGTTCGTGGAGAAAGTAACAAAAGACGACAGGTATTCAAGCATGCACTTGAAAAACCATATGCCACAAATTGGCCATCAGCAAGTCAGACAGTTCAGGATGAAATAGTCGATTTGCTCTACTCAGCTCTGCAACCCCTTGGTAGCTATTTTGCTGAAACCCGACATGCAGCAAAATACCAACGGCGTCGACGACGTCTTGCACTGCGTAGGGCAAGAAAGAATAAGTCAGAAGTAAAGCAAAAAGAATTGGTCGAACACCAACAGATTATGAAACCTTCTACTATTGGACATGATTTACTTAATCACGTTGTGCTTGGAATTAACAGCACAACACGAGCATTGGAGAAACAGGCACGACGTGTAAACCCCTGTGGTTCAGAGGATTTGGTATTAGTAGTTGTATGCAAAGGTGATATTGAGCCACAATTAGTAGCACACTTTCCAGGATTAGCACATGCTGCGCGCATTGCATCAGCATCATCAACAGGTGGTCAATCAGCATCAGGTAAAGGCACTGTACAGGGTGGAGCGCTAAGACTGGTAGGAGTTGGCAGTGGGTCTGAGCGACGGCTCGCAGAAGCAGTGGGACAACGGCGAGTATCAGTGATTGGAATAAAATCTGGTTTTCCAACACTAGATGCAGTTGTACAAAGGGCCCGTGCGGGAGTTGCTACACCTTCCGTGCCATGGATTGGTAGCAAAATCCAACCTACTATCCAACTTGATGCAACAATGACGGAGTCTGAAGTTTCACTACATCCAATGAAAGTACGCGAACTACACACCACTGCGC